GCTGCGTAGGCCATCTCTGGTGGCACTCTCCAAGCCTGGTGGAGGAGGCTGCCCAGGCTAGCCAGGGGGTACGTGAACTTGCTTTACAAAGAGCCTGAGCAACTCTTAATGGTTATCCTGATGAGAATGTTGCAATCAAAAACTTAAAATGTGTTACTAATAATGACAGAGAAATATTGACTTTCAGATTGCAGCTCTCTGGCAATACTGCTTAATGTGCGCAAACTGTGGTGAAACACTACAAAAGAACAGGTCAGGGAAATACATTCAGGATTACAAGGAGGAGGTTAATTGCAGCTCATTGAAAATGCTTGATTTAAAATGTTTTTTCTGCAGACATGCATCTGATGAAGTGGGTCTTTGCCCACGAAAGCTTATGCTCCTACACTTCAAGTATAAGGTGCCACAGGACTCCTTGTCGCTTTTGCAGATTCAGACTAACACGGCTACCCCTCTGATACTTTTCTGCTGTGTTCATCTGTCCTTTCTAGACATGATGAACATTTACTGTAGTATGTGCAATTTACCTGCTGCATAAAACAAGCTTTTTGGGGACTAGCAGGAAACGCATGATAGTTGGATGATGTATGATAGCAATATGATTGAAACATATTGGCATCTGTTTGCATAAAGAGTATCTACTTTAAATATTACTTTTTGCCATTAAAAAAACTGAAGCAGAAAGGTAAATCAGATTCTAATCTATATCTATATCTATATCTATATCTATATCTATATCTATATCTATATCTATATCTATATCTCCTGTATAAAAACTTTACTGGGATCCTTGACAAACTATAATGCTCTCAAATGTGGGATTTCAGAAAGAAAGTGACTTAATATGACTTTCCGAGAATGGTGTTTTTAATCATTAAATCAAAACAAAGAACAAAAAAGAGAGTTAAGAAAACAGTTGCCTACTTCCTTCCTGGGAAATATATCCAATTGTATAAAGCAAAGAATGCTTTCTTCATATTCTGTGGCACTTCTTTTTAAGGAAACTCTGAGTCAGAATAGTGCAGTATAGCTCCGTGTGTTACAAAATATATTAAAACATGGGTATACTGTAAAGGTGTTGAAATATTGAATTAAAATAGCGTATTGTTTGCATACACATAACCGCTGGGAAGAAAACAAAAGCCAACAATGCTACATTCCAGTTCAGAATTGCAAGATATTTCTGTTGCACGTATTTGACTTCTGCCCCGTGCACATTTTTTTTTGGCCTCAGTCAGTGTGTGTTTATATATATATATATAAATAAAAAATATAGTGATAATTGCTAGGAAAATGCATGAGTATTTATATTTTAGTAAGAATGTGAACCTGATGGAGTTCAAGGTTTCTGTCCTTATAAACTATTTTGTGTTTGGTTATTAAACATTTGCAACAAGGTTGTATCAGATTGTCTCCTGTTATGTAATTGTCCCTTTCTCATTTTTTCTATAGTCTAGAAAACCATTTTAAAGCTGACTCACTAAATACTATATACTAGGAACAAAAGAATATGCACATAAGCTAGGCTGGTACCAGTGCAGTTCATTAGAATTTGTCTCCTTCCTTCTGTCTTGTTCATTTTATCAGTTCCTCTAGATATATTCTTTCCCACTTTTCCCCACTAGAATGTTTGCTCTGCCTTCTATCTAGGATTCCCCCCAATCTCTTCTAATGAGAATTTGAACCGAATATATATAATTTCGGTTTAAATTAAACTTTCAAACCCATGGTCACAGGATGCTTCAAGATTGGGCAAAATGATTTTTTTCATCCCTAAATTTTAGATAGAAAAAAGGCCCATGTTTGTTTTACTAAAATCTAGCTAGGGAAAACTTGTATGTTGGAAACTCCTAGTTGTGGAATGTAATTGATTGCAGTGTCAAGATTCGGTGAGATTCCAACACAAGAAGTGTTGATTACAAATTTAAAGAGAGGTGCTCTATCTGCACTAGACGTTTGATGGAACAGGAGTAATTAGAAGGATAATAAAACACCACAGCAGGGGAACAGAGAGGAATGCGAGGAGAAGAAAGCGTAAATATTAAATACAAAATGAAACAAAGAGCATACTTAGAACATGGTCAATGCTATTTCTAATTTGTGTGGCATTTAGGTACCGAAGTGATAGGTTCCTCAGAATAGCTGAGAGGCAGAAATCTTGCTTGCTTTAGTCACTGAAGTAATCGTATTAACTTCAATGGGTCAGCTTGCATCAATAGTGGTTGAGCAGGACTTAGGCCTCATTGTGGAAAGCTTGCAGTGTGTCCAACTGCATTCACACTTTGGCAGAAGATAAGCTTTGCAGTAATTAGTTGCCGAGGTAAACAATGTCTTTTAGAGCATGTTAGTGGGCCCTGGATAATAAGTACATGGTTGTCAGTATTAAGTTTAAGACATGTAAATCTGATCTTAATTATTCTTATTAGAAATTTTTAGATATATTTTCAGAGCGCTATGTGTGTTATCTACATGAAATGTAAGCTATCCTGTAATAATTTCCTTGCCTTCTGCAAAACTTAGATTCAGTGATGATATGGTTGAAAATTGTATAGCCTGAAGGAGACAAAATAGATTATCTTTCAGGATCTGATGATAAAACAAAGTCTGGGGGGCAAGCAGTGTTCCTCATTCTCTTTTTTAAAAATATTTTAGTCCATGCTTATGGAATAGTTATTGGGCCACAGTATGAAGTGTTTAAGGAGTCAACAAAAGGCTCAAGACGCCTCAGTCCTTCTAGTGCCTCTGTGAATAACGGCTAGCCTTAATAAGGATGGGAGATATCTCTTCTGGCAGCACTAACTTCAAAGGGGGCAGTGCACAGTTGGGACCATGGTGCTGCCTCAGCTGTTCTGGCTGTCAGAACTGGCTGGGTGTATGAGGAGCGCACACTGCACCCATCCAAAATGTGACAGAACATCTGAGTCAGCACGCACTCCTCTGGAATCCTGGCAGGAATTCCCGCTGCTAAAATTGCACTTGGCATTTATGCTATAGTGCACTCTCCTTTCTCTACTACAGGTTGAAACTCTTTTAACCCAGACTCTCTGGTCTGGCAACATCCATGGTCACGGATGTTTGAGGACCAGAAAGTCCCGGTGGAGAGCTAGTGCCTGGGAACCTGCAGGCTGGCAGGGAAGTTTGAGTGTCATGAGTGGTAGCAGGACTGCCTGGTAGGGCAGTGGGAGCCCCACACACAGGTATAGCAGGGGTGCCCCATGCAGCATCAAGAGACCAGTGCACGGAGGCTGAGGGGTTGTGGGGTGCAGCAGCAGGAGCCTGGTTTACAGAGGCAGCAAGGTTGCCGGGCAGGGCAGCAGGAACCCAGTGTGTAGAGGTGGCGGGGTTGCCTGGCAGGACAGTGGGGGCTGAGAGGGCAGTGGGAGCTAGCTGGGAGGCCAGCTGTCGGGCCAGGTCTAGGGGCTGGCTGGTGGCAGGGGGGCCAGAAATGACCTTACTTGGTCTGGCAAAATCCCTCATCTGGGACTGGTCAAGTCCTGAAGGTGCCAAAATAGGGGGTCCAAGCTATTCATGTCTGTGATAAAAGGAACAGCTTAGCCCTTGACTTTTAAAGTTACATGGATTGAGTTATACAGCTCATAATAAAATCAATAGCAATTTTGCAGCTTGATCCTATAAAGGTAGATAATGTATTTCACTTGGCTTACTTCTGCATTTTCTGCAGGAGACAAAGAACTAGTTTCCTGTTGTTTAACTCTTTGTGGCTTTCTCTGATATCAGTTATCTAATTATTGGAGGCACTGTGCTCTTTTAAAGTAAACTTGAAAATAGCAGCTAAGGGAAAGTTGTTGCTCTGAGCTCTGCTGGTGCTCATTTGACTTGTAAAGCAGGATGACGTGATAAAGAGATCACAGCAGATTTTAAGCTTTAGATAAAAGTAAGTTAGAAATTGTTTGACTACTATAGCTCAAGGTGGTTAAGATAAAACTTAAAAGTGTTACTGTCTGACTTAATTAGTAGGTAGAGTATTGGAGAACTCAGCAGAATCTTGCCTGCGATCTACCTGTTTAAAATAAAGAGTGTGATTTAGATCAATTTCAGCCTATATTCGGTAAAGTGGAGTTAGTTAATCAATACATATCAAAGAGCCTGTATAACCTTTTGTTGAAATGCCGTGGTCTGATTTCTGTAGACTAGAGTTTCTGATGTACTTGAGTATCTGATCACAATCCTGGGTGGTACATCAAGTATGTGGATGTATACTTGATAGGACTGGACAGTCTACTATGATGAGAATTGGGGAATTTCCAGACTTACGGGTATAAGATAGTGTCTACACTAGGAAAATGGCAAGAATTGTCACCCGTTGATCAGAGTTTAAAATGTTTGGTTATTTTTGTTTTGTTTTGTTATATCCATTTGCTATGCTGCTGCATATGCACGTTGTAGGATTTCGCTTTGCCTGTTGTTCGTCCATCGTGGTCGATGAAGACCTCAACACCACTAAGTGCTTTGAGACTAGATACAGTGTGTCCGAAGATAACTTATCAGGCCAATTCAGGCACCAAATGTCTTGGAACATGTCGGGAAGACATGTGTAGGCATTGCAATCGTTGCACTGGTAGCTTTGGACTTGCGCAGCATGTGCTTGTGTTGTGCTTCAGAGATGCGCCTTGTTTCGAGAACTCGGCGTCCCTTGTGAATGAGACTGCGCCAGGCAGGGCAGTTGTGTGCCAGCGATTCCCAGGTGGTTGTATCAATTCTGAACGACTTCAGGGAGGCCCTGAGTGTGTCTTTGTAACGTTTCCTCTGTCCACCACGTGAGCGTTTACCAGTAGAGAGTTCCCCAGAAAGGAGCTGCTTAGGTATACGTTCGTCCGGCATACGAATGACATGACTTGCCCATCTAATCTGTTCACTCATCAGCACAGTGTGGACTGATGGTAAACTTGCTCTAGAGAGAACCTCAGTGTCTGGTATTTTGTCTTGCCATCCGATGCATAATATTCTGTGAAGACAAGTCATGTGGAAGTAAGTTTCACAGGCATACAGGAGAGTGGTGAGTACCACGGCTCTGTAGACCTTCAGTTTTGTTGCTTGGCTGATTCCTCGACGTTCCCATACAGTGGGGCACAGTCTACCAAAAGCAGAACTTGCCTTCGCTATTCTGCATGTGACTTCTATGTCAATGTTAGCTGCATGGGAGAGTGCTGCCGAGGTAAGTAAACTGGTCCACTGCCTGTAGCATCCGCCCTGTGACTGTGATTGTGGGTTTTGTGTACGGTGCATAAGGGACAGGCTGATACATGACTTCATCTTTCTGCTGTTGTTGGTGAGCTTGCCTTCGCTATTCTGCATGTGACTTCTATGTCAATGTTAGCTGCATGGGAGAGTGCTGCCGAGGTAAGTAAACTGGTCCACTGCCTGTAGCATCCGCCCTGTGACTGTGATTGTGGGTTTTGTGTACGGTGCATAAGGGACAGGCTGATACATGACTTCGGTCTTTCTGCTGTTGAAGGTGAGTCCAAAGTTGTCACAAGCTGTGCAGAACTTGTCCACACTAACTTGCATCTCTGCTTCAGAGCCAGCATACAAGGTGCAATCATTGGCAAACAAGAAGTCTCTCAGAACAGTCTCTTTCACTTTGGTGATAGCCTGAAGTCTCCTCAGGTTGAAAAGATTCCCGTCCACTCTGTACTTAAGGCTGATTCCGGCAACGCTGTCCTGGAAGGCATCATTCAGCGTAGCAGTAAACATGATGCTGAACAGCGTAGGTGCGAGTACACAGCTCTGTTTGACACCATTGGTGACTGGGAATGCCTTAGAAGATTCTCCACTGTCTAGCACTCTGGCCATCACGTCATCATGAAACTGGCGTACCATCTGAATGAATTTGGTGGGGCAGCCAAACTTTGACATGATCCTCCACAGACCTTGTCGGCTGACAGTGTTGAAGGCTTTTGTGAGGTCAACAAAGGTTGTGTAAAGTTCACGATTCTGCTCCTGACACTTCTCCTGAAGTTGGCGCATGGCAAAGATCATGTCAATAGTCCCGCAGCCCTTATGAAAGCCACATTGTGACTCCGGCAGGAGGCCACACTCCAGATGAGTGACCAAACGATTTAACATCACTCTTGCAAGGATTTTACCTGCAGTGGAAAGCAGCGAAATTCCCCGATGACTGTCACATACCTGTTGATTGCCCTTCCTCTTAGAGGTGTACAATGGATGCATCCTTGAGTTCCTGAGGAATGGATCCTTGCTCCCAAAAAGACTGGAACAACTCAGTGAGCCTCTCTGTGAGTACGTGACTGCCAGCTTTATAGACCTCTGCAGGTATAGCGTCTGCCTGTGGACCTTTGCTGCTGGATAGCTGGCTAACAGCTTGTGAAACTTCAGCTACTACCGGTGGATCATCCATGGCGCCGTGGATGTCAACCTGGGGAATTCTCTCAATCGCCTAGTCATTGATAAATGACGGTTGGTTGAGGACGTCTTCAAAATGTTCAGCCCATCTCTGCAAGATCTTCTGAGCCCATCTGAGCCTTCTCTGTAATCAGAGTTGAACCATCTGTACTAACACGGGGGAAACTCCCGAGACACTGAGGTCCATAGAGAGTGTTGAGGGCTGCATAGAAACGTTTCAGATCATTACTTGTAGGTAAGGTCCCATGGGAAGCAAGACTGAAGGGAAAAACAACTGAGGAGAGTTGGAAGTATTTCAAAGGGACGTTGTTAAGGGCCCAAAAGCAAACAATTCCGCTGTGTAGGAAAGATAGAAAATATGGCAAAAGACCAGCTTGGCTTAACAAGGAGATCTTGCATGATCTCAAAATAAAAAAGGAGTCATATAAAAAATGGAAACTAGGACAACTAACAAAGGATGAATATAGGCAAGCAACACGGGAATGCAGGGGCAAGATTAGAAAGGCAAAGGCACAAAATGAGATCAAACTAGCTACAGGCATAAAGGGAAACAAGAAGACCTTTTATAAATACATTAAAAGCAAGAGGAAGACCAAGGACAGGGTAGGCCCACTGCTTAGTGAGGAGGGAGAAGCAGTAACAGGGAACTTGGAAATGGCGGAGATGCTCAATGACTTCTTTGTTTCGGTCTTCACCGAGAAGTCTGGAGGTGTGCCTAACGTAGTGAATACAAGCAGAGAGAGGGTAAGTTTAGAAGATAGGATACACAAAGAACAAGTTAAAAATCACTTAGGAAAGTTAGATGTCAGCAAGTCACCAGGTCCTGATGAAATGCATCCCAGGATACTCAAGGAGCTGATAGAGGAGGTATCTGAGCCTTTAGCTATGATCTTTGAAAAATCATGGCAGACAGGGGAGATTCCAGAAGACTGGAAAAGGGCAAATATTGTGCCCATCTATAAAAAGGGGAATAAGAACAACCCAGGAAATTATAGACCGGTCAGTTTAACGTCTGTCCCAGGGAAGATAATGGAGCAGGTAATTAAGGAAATCATATGCAAACACTTGGAAGGTAATAAAGTGATAGGGAATAGCCAGCATGGGTTTGTGAAGAACAAGTCATGCCAAACTAATCTGATAGCTTTCTTTGATAGGATAACGAGCCTTGTGGATAAGGGAGAAGCGGTGGATGTCATATACCTAGACTTTAGTAAGGCATTTGATACGGTCTCGCATGATATTCTTATTGATAAACTAGGCAAATATAACTTAGATAGGGCCACGATAAGGTGGGTGCATAATTGGCTGGATAACCGTAGTCAGAGAGTTGTTGTTAACGGTTCTAAATCCTGCTGGAAAGGGATAACAAGTGGAGTTCCTCAAGGGTCTGTTTTGGGACCCGTACTGTTCAATATCTTCATCAATGATGTAGATATTGGGATAGAGAGTACGCTTATTAAGTTTGCAGATGATACCAAACTGGGTGGGGTTGCAACTTCTTTGGAGGATAGGGACATAATTCAGAATGACCTTAGCAAGTTAGAGAAATGGTCAGAGGTAAACAGGATGAGGTTTAATAAGGAGAAATGCAGAGTGCTCCACTTAGGAAGGAACAATCAGTTCCATACATACAAGATGGGAAGCGACTGTCTAGGAAGGAGCATGGCGGAAAGGGATCTAGGGGTCATAGTGGACCACAAGTTGAATATGAGTCAACAGTGTGATGCTGTTGCAAAAAAAGCAAATATGATTCTAGGTTGTATCAACAGGTGTGTTGTAAGCAAAACTCGTGAAGTCATTCTGCCGCTCTACTCTGCACTAGTTAGGCCTCAGCTGGAGTACTGTGTCCAGTTCTGGGCGCCACATTTCAAGCAAGATGTGGAGCAATTGGAAAGGGTACAGAGAAGAGCGACAAGGATGATTAAAGGTTTAGAGAACATGACCTATGAAGCCAGGCTTCATGAACTGGGCTTGTTTAGTTTGGAAAAAAGAAGATTAAGGGGGGACATGATAGCGGTTTTCAAATATCTAAAAGGGTGTCACAAGGAGGAAGGAGAAAATTTGTTCCTCTTGGTTTCTGAGGACAGGACATGGAGTAATGGGCTTAAAGTGCAGCAAGGGAGGTTTAGATTGGACATTAGGAAAATATTCCTAACTGTCAGGGTGGTCATATATTGGAATAAATTGCCAAGGGAGGTGGTGGAATCTCCCTCTCTGGAGATATTTAAGAACAGGTTAGATAGACATCTGTCAGGGATGGTGTAGACAGAGCTTGGTCCTGCCTTGAGGGTGGAGGGCTGGACTCGATGACCTCTCGAGGTCCCTTTCAGTCCTATGATTCTATGATTCCTGTCACCATGCCCCTGAATTTCAGCTGCCTGGTCCCTTAACCAAGCAACCTGCATTTTACGCAGTTTGTTCTGGACTGTCCTGCGAGCATTTTCAAAGGCATTCTTCTTGGCAGCTGATGATGGATCATTCTGATGTGCACGATGAAGGTGGTGCTTTTCAGCAGGTAGAGACAATATCTCCCCATCATTCTCATCAAACCAGTTGGGCTGCTTGCGCGAAGAGGGTCCCAAAATCTTCAGTGCAGATGAGTGGATAGCATTCCGGAAAAGTTGCCAGTCATCCGCAGCGCTGCCTACAAGGTGCAAGTCGGAAAGCCTGCTTTCTAGATCCTCAGTCAATGTTGAGGTTATGTTCGTGTTCTTTAGCCTGGCCACATTAACTCTTTTTATGGGCTTGCTACTTTGTGGCTGCCTCTTCATTCTAATTCAGAGATTCATTTTGGAGACAATGAGCCTGTGAGCTGTCCAACAATCAGCACCACACATGGTCTTGGTCACTCTGACATCTTGCCTGTCTTTTCTCCTGACAATGACATAGTCGATAAGATGCCAATGCTTAGAGCGGGGGTGCATCCAAAAGGTCTTGTTTCGGGTAGGCAGGCGGAACGTTGTGTTGGTGATAAGGAGGTCGTGTGCTGCACAGGTCTTCAGTAGGATTAGGCCGTTGCCGTTACATTTGCCCACTCCATGTCTGCCAACGACTCCATGCCAGGCTATTGAGTTGCATCCTACTCTTGCATTGAAGTCACCGAGCAGGATCAGTTTGTCGGTGCTACTCACAGCTGATAGTAAGGAATCCAGTTCTTCATAGAACCCGTCTTTCATCTGGTTCAGGTTAGTCATTGTGGGAGCATAGGCACTGATCAGAGTGGCTTGGTTTCTATTCTGTAGCGGAAGCTGTAGTATCATAAGCTGATCATTCACCCCCTTGGGAAGACTGGCAAATTGCTGAACAAGGTGATTCCTGACGGCGAATCCAACTCCAGCATCACGACGCCCATCGGTGCCACGACTGCTCCAGAAAAAAGTATATCCACCTCCAGTTTCAGTTAGCTGACCTTCATTAGCAAGACGAGTCTTACTGAGGGCTGCAATATCAATGTTGTATCTTGCAAGCTCTCTGGCAACCAAGGCTGTTCTTCTCTCTGGTCTATCTGTTGTAGGGTTGTCCAAAAGCGTGCGCACCAAGTTCCAATGGTGAGCGATGTCACCATACATTTAATCTGTTTATTTGTATTTGTTCGACCGCCATAATAGGATTCCCGCCAGCTGTGGTAAACTGGCCAGGATGTAGTGAAGCAGGCGTTGTTTAGAGCTCCTTTTCTAGCCCCTTCCCCAATTCTACGGAGGTGAGCAGTGGGTTCCTAAAAAGGACTGCTCAGTCGCCCAGATAGATGCCGGATTTCACTGCTGCTTCAATCAGCGAGAAACGACCATTAAACCTGAGCCGCCTGTGTGCAGGTCCGTGACTACAGCTCCCAGTGTGTCCACACCTGCTGCTTCATCACTTGCCCATTGCCACAGGACATCTAAGGTTGCGATAATGATGATGGTAATAACGTGGTGTCGAGACTTGTGCGTGATTTGGATTTAAGTGAGGAAATGTTGCGCAGCGTCAACCTCACTCTCTCTTCCCAATTCCCATCTGGGTCCAGTAGCAAGACGAAAGTCAAGATGGCTGGAGATGGGACTGGGTGCAGTGGGTGACCAGGGCATCTTCTGTGTCTTATCCTACTCGACGCGTTCCACAACACTTGCGGAGACCGCCTTCTTGACCGTTGGACCTTCCATTGGTCTCATCCACTCAATCCGCCGGAGTCTGTATTCACATGCTGGGATAGACAACTCCCTGTCTCACCGAGAGTTTTGGGCCCATCGGCTAGTTGCCTGTGGCCACTGTCGCATGTAAACATCTACGAAGAGCCACAGGTGAGAGCTGGGTGCCAGGTGGGGGCCAAAGGTGGACGAACCTCCCTAAAAGGACGCGACATGTTCAGTCACCAGAGGTGCTACCCCTCCCTGACTCTCCCTGACACCTCGCTTTGCCTAATGCAGCACTGTCATCATGTTGTATTGATGGATCATGACTTTGTGGGTTCTGGTCGCCATAGCCATTGCAGTTTAACAGCACTGAATCTGATATGGTAGGTCTTGTCGTTTCTCCCATGGACAGCATTGCTACTGTTAGCATGAGACCTTGCCCGTCTCAGGAGCCATATAATTAGGAATTTGAGAAGGCAATATGTCTGCCAGATATTTACTTGACTCATGAAGGTGAAACAAAGAAATTTTTCCTAATGCAGTTTTGATGCCAAATGTAGGGAAGAGGCTGATCAGGTGACAGAAAGCAGTAAGTCTCTAGGCAAACAATTATATCAGGGTAGGCCTGTGCTTTAATTTCTGTAATGTACTTCAGTGAACTAAACTGAACATAATTACAAGAATTCTAGCACATCTGATGTGAGGAATAGGATGTATTTCTTTCTTGGAGATGTATGTACTGGCTGCATTTGTAGAACATTGACTATTAGGATGAAATAAAACTATCTGATCCCTTTCTCTTTGCTTGGTGTTCTTGACAGCTGAGATAAGACCTGAGAAGTCAAGGTTCATTAGCTCCTTGGGATGCAGACTGTTTATTGAAATGTATCTTCTGCTTGAACTCTCAAGTTGAGATTTCGGTGGGATTGTCACTCTTCCGTTCATAAGAACAAAAGAGCAGCCATACTGGGTCAGATCAAAGGTCCATCTAGCCCAGTATCCTGTCTGCTGACAGTGGCCAATACCAGGTGTCCCAGAGGGAAGGGACACAACAGGGAATTGCCACATGATCCCTCTCCTGTCATCCATTTTCAGCCTCTGACAAACAGAGGCTAGGGCCACCATTCCTACTCATCCTGGCTAATAGCCATTGATGGACCTAACCTCCATGAATCTATCTAGCTCTTTTTTGCACCCTGTTAAAGTCTTGGTCATCACAATGTCCTCTGGCAAGGAATTCCACAGGTTGACTGTGCGCCGAGTGAAGAAAAACTCCCTTTTGTTTGTTTTAAACTTGCTGCCTATTAATTTCATTTGGTACCCCCATGTTCTTATATTGTGGGAATAAGTAAGTAACTGTTCCTTATTCACTTTTTCCACACCAGTCATGATTTTATAGATCTCTATCATATCCCCCTTTAGTCTCCTCTTTTTTTAAGCTCTCTTCATATGGGACCTGTTCCAAACCCTTTATCACTTTTGTTGCCCTTTTCTGAACCTTTTCCAATGCCAATATATCTTAATTGAGATAAGGTGCCCACATCTGTACGCAGATTCAAGATGTGGGCGTACCATGGTTTTCTATAGAGGCAATAAGACATTAGAATTAACAACTTGAGGTTCATTGATGATATAATTATCATTGAGAAAGATGAAGAGAAGCTAGCGAGAATGGTGCAGGTGCTAAATAAGGAAGGGAAGCGGTATGGACTGATTATGAATATTGATAAAATGAAGACAATGGTATTTATAGATAAGGAAATAGGAAGGAAGAGCAGTATAGATGGGATTGAACTAGATAACGTAGAGAAGTTCACGTATTTGGGGAGCAACATGATGTATGACCTAGTTTGTAAGAAGGAAATAGTGACTAGAATAGCGAAAGCAAGAGTGAGTTTGAAGACGATGGATAAGATCTGGAAAAGTAAAGCAATTAGCTTAGGAATGAAGATGAGCATCTTGAAAATGTGTATATTTAGCAGCATGTTGTACAGATTTGAGATATGGGTGATAACGAAAGGTTCAAAGAGAAGGATATTGGCGTTCGAGAGGAGTTGTTTAGAAAGATCCTGAGAATAGGATGGATGCAGAAGGTTCTCCAACGAGGAATTATGTAGGAAGATACAGCCTAAAGAGAAACTACTGCAAAAGGTTATACAACAGAAGTTACAGCTATTTGGGTATATCTTCAGAATGAACAATGAGCAAAAAGTTAAGACCCTGGTATTCGGCATAATGGATGGTCCAAATAGGAGAGGCAGACCCCACAGACAATGGGTAGATGATCTAGGTTGGTGCAAAGCTAGTTTACAGAAACTAAGCCACTCCGCACTGGAGGAAAAAAAAAAAAGGAAATAGTGAGGGAGGCATTGGACACCAATGGGCATTGAGCCCATGGTGGTGGTGGTTGATGATGATGATGATGATGAATAAGACATTCTCTGTCTTAGTCTCTCTCCCTTTTAAAATGATTCCTAACATTCTGTTTTCTTTTTTGACTGTCGCTGCACACTGAGTGGATGTTTTCAGAGAACTATCCAGAGTGACTTCAAGATCCACTCTTGAGTAGTTATAGCTAAATTAGTCCCCGTCATTTTGTATGTATAGATGGGATTATTTTTTCCAACGTGCATTACTTTACATTTATCAACATTAAATTTAATTTGCCATTTTGATGCCCATTCACATAGTTTGGTGAGATCTTTTTGAAGCTCTTCACAGTCTACTTTCGTCTTAACACAAGTGCTTGGAGGAGTGCGACCGACCACAAGTTCACTTGACCCCTGCCCTTCATGGCTTATTAAATCTAGCCGGAAAGGGATGACTGGCTGGGTCCAGGGGATTATTAATGCATCTTATAGATCTGGTATGGTTCCTGCTGCCTTGAAAGAGGCAGTGATAAAACCGTTACTCAAGAAGACTTCCCTGGACCCAGATTACTTAAATAACTATCGCCCAATTGCTAATACTCCCTTCTTGGGCAAGGTACCCAAGATTTCTTGGAAGAAACAAACTACTTATATTCATTTCAGTCTGGCTTTAGGCCTGGTTTTGGAACTGAAACAGCCTTGGTCGCCCTGGTAGACAATTTATGCCGGGAGAGAGACAGGAGTGCATCCCTGTTGATTCTCTTAGACCTCTCAGCCTCTTTTGATACCACGGACCATGACATCCTTCTGGGACGCCTGGCGGAGTTGGGTATTGGAGGCACTGTTTTGCAGTGGTTCTGGTCCTACCTGTTGGAACACTTACAGAAGGTGCAGCTGTGGGGCCTGCTATTCAACCTTGTGGTGATTGTGCTATGGAGTCCCGCAAGGTTCCATCATGTCCCCTATGCTGTAGAAGGATCTAGAAGGATCACTTCTAGAGACCTTTTTAAATATTGGCATCACATTATCTATCTTAGAGGCATTAGGTATGGAAGCTGATTTAAAGGATAGGTTACAAACCACAGTTAATAGTTCCACAATTTCACATTTGAGTTCTTTTAGAACTCTTGGGTGAATGCCATCTGGCCCCGGTGACTTGTTACTGTTAAGTTTATCAGTTTGTTCCAAAACCTCCTCTAATGACACCTCAATCTGGGATAGTTCCTCAGATTTGTCACCTAAAAAGAATGGCTCCAGTTTGGGAATCTCCCCAATATCCTCAGCCATGAAGACCGAAGAAGAGAATTCTCCATACTTTACAATGACTTTATCATCTTTGAGCGCTCCCTTAGCATCTTAATCGTCCAGGGGCCTAACTGGTAGTTTAGCAGGCTTCCTGCTTCTGATGTACCTAAAAAACATTTTACTGTTACTTTGAGTTTTTGGCTAGCTGTTCTTCAAACTCCTTTTTGGCTTTTATTATTATATTTTTACACTTAATTTGACAGAGTTTATGCTCCTTTCTATTTTCCTCACTAGGATTTCACTTCCACTTTTAAAAAGATTTCTTTTTATCTCTCACTGCTTCTTTTACTTGGTTGTTAAGCCACAGTAGCACTTTTTTATTTCTCTTACTGTGTTTTTTTAATTTGGGGTATACATTTAAGTTGGGCGTGTGGTGTCTTTGAAAAGTTTCCATGCAGCTTGCAGGGATGTTAGTTCTTACTTGGCCTTGTGCATAATTACTAAATGAAAAGCTAAATTCTTTAAAATATGCTCAGAAAATTTGTGGGCACATTTGTTGTGGGTGTAGATTAGTAAATAATGTGCACAAATGGTCTAGTTTGTTGCACAAATAGGTCTTCATATGAATGAATAGACTTGTAGACTCTGTGGTTCATTTTTAATGAGTTACATTAACATTAGCCTTATATCCTTTTTATGCATAGAATAAATAACAGCCAACCAGGAATTATGGTGCTGTAATTCTATCATGGACTTGTCGTGACCACATAAACAATGCGGCACTGTAATCATCATGGCTTATGTAGTCACCAGTATCTGGACTGGAATTATCAGTGTGTAACT